GCGACTGGAGGGGCGGAGGCGGGATGGCGACTGGAGGGCGGAGGCGGGTGGCGACTGGAGGGGCGGGAGGCGGGTGGCGACTGGAGGGGCGGAGGCGGGTGGCGACTGGAGGGGCGGAGGCGGTTGGCGACTGGAGGGGCGGAGGCGGGTGGCGACTGGAGGGGCGGAGGCGGGTGGCGACTGGAGGGGCGGAGGCGGGTGGCGACTGGAGGGGCGGAGGCGGGTGGCGACTGGAGGGGCGGAGGCAGGTGGCGACTGGGAGGGGCGGAGGCGGGTGGCGACTGGAGGGGCGGAGGCTGCTGCACTGCACCTGCGGGATGGCGGCAGTGGGATGACGCACGGCAGGCACCACTCTGGTGCCCTGCTGATCACTGCTCGCCTCCGAGGAACGGCGAGGCGCGGAGGGAGCAGTGCAGCTGCTGGCGAGCGCACGTGCATGCAGCTTCGACCCCTCCTAAATACGTCTAAGAAATCTCTCTTCTCTTGACATTTTGACACTCTTGTTCACGCTATATTTTCACGCTATATTTTGACACTCTTGTTCACGCTATATTTTCACGATTGCACTCGTTCTTTCATTGCTCGCCTTCGCCGTCATTGCCACTACCCCTCCTCTCGCCACTTGTGAGTGTGCCTGCTGCTTACTGCCTTGCGTGTGCTTGCGTGTTCGGTTGTAAGTGTGCCTGCTGCTTACTGCCTTGTGTGTGCTTGCGTGTCGGTTGTAAGTGTGCCTGCTGCTTACTGCCTTGTGTGTGCTTGGTGTTCGGTTGTAAGTGTGCCTGCTGCTTACTGCCTTGTGTGTGCTTGCGTTCGGTTGTAAGTGTGCCTGCTGCTTACTCCCTTGTGTGCTTGCGTGTTCGTTGTAAGTGTGCCTGCTGCTTACTGCCTTGCGTGTGCTTGCGTGTTCGGTTGTAAGTGTGCCTGCTGCTTACTGCCTTGTGTGTGCTTGCGTGTTCGGTTGTAAGTGTGCCTGCTGCTTACTGCCTAGTGTGTGGTTGCGTGTTCGGTTGTAAGTGTGCCTGCTGCTTACTGCCTTGTGTGTGCTTGCGTATTCGGTTGTGAGTGTGCTTGCTGCTTACTACCTTGTGTGTGCTTGCGTGTTCGGTTGTAAGTGTGCTTGCTGCTTACTGCCTTGTGTGTGCTTGCGTGTTCGGTTGTGAGTGTGCTTGCTGCTTACTGCCTTGTGTGTGCTTGCGTGTTCGGTTGTAAGTGTGCCTGCTGCTTACTGCCTTGTGTGTGCTTGCGTGTTCGGTTGTGAGAGTGCTTGCTGCTTACTGCCTTGTGTGTGCCACTCACACCTGATGCATGCTTTTCAGTTTTTTTTCGTCTTGCGTTTTCCGTTGCCTGCATTCTTTGTCAGGTTTCCGTATCGCTGTATTCCCCTAATCATCTCTCTCCTAGGCACGCGGAAGTGCGAGCGTGGTGGGATGACGCACGGCCGGCAGTCACAAGCGTGTGGCTGCCTCCTACCCGCCCTGCTGACCACGCGCTCGAAGGCAAGCCGCGGAGGCGGCGCTGCGACGAGTCGTCTTTCTCCCACGTGTGCTGGCTTCTCCCCCTGCGTCCATGGGGTGAGGCGGAGGAGACGAGATGGAGAGACTGACGGGCGGAATTGAGGCGATTACAAGGAGGGGTGCTGCTGAATGGAGAGGGAGAGTCATACAGAGCCGAGGGGGTGTGGATGGGCTTGATCATTTGAGAGTGGGGGCCCAGCTCTCTCTTGGTCTTGTCCTGAAGCACGGGGCCACCCTCGGCCTCTGCGGGCTACTCACATACCTCCAGCACCTTGGCCCTTGGATCTGTCCTCTTCCATGCCTGTCTCACGTCCTCCTGAACCCGCACTCCGTCCTCACTCCTCCCCCTTCCATTCCCTTCAGTTCGGGCCTTCACGTGGGGGTGAGGAGGGCGAGGGGGCAGCGCGGCGGGCAGCAAGAGGACTTCTCTGCTTAATCCCCGCCTTCCTTCTCTTCAGGGCCTCACGTGGGGCGAGGGAGGGCGAGGGGCAGCGCGCGCAGCATCAAGGGGCGTCCCTCTGGTTTACCCCCCCCCTTCTATTCCCTTCAGCATGGCGGGCAGCGTGGAGACGACACGGCGGCTGCCACTGACGGAGGTGAGGTGCTGATTTATTCACTTCAGCAAGGTACGCCTCTTCCCTTGTCCCGTTTCCGCCTTGCTTTCTTCCTGTTTTTTGCATTTCATGTATTGTCGTGCATGTTTCACTTGATCCTTTTGTTTCTGTTTGTCTCTCCACCCTCCCCCCCCCCCACCCCCCCCCTTCCATTCCCTTGATGTCTACTCGTGGGGCAAGGAGGGCGATGGGGCAGGCGCGCGCGCATCAAGAGGCGTCCCTCTGGTTAACCCCCCCCCTTCCATTCCCTTCAGCATGGCGGGCGTGGAGACGACACGGCGGGCGGCACGGACGGAGGTGAGATGCTGATTCATCGCTTCAGCAAGGTAAGCATCTCTTCCCTTGTTCGTTTCCGCCTTGCTTTCTTTCTGTTTTTCGCATTTCATGTATTTGTCGTGCATGTTTCACTTGATCCTTTTTTTTTCTGTTTGTCTCTCTAATCCCCCCCTTCCCTTCAGGTCGACTCATGGGCGAGGAGGGCGAGGGGGGCAGCGCGGGGCAGCAAGAGGCTTCTATCTAATCTCCCCCTTCCATTTCCCTTCAGCATGGCGGGTAGCGCGGAGGTCCTACACGGCGGGCGGCACAGCGGGCGGCACAAGGACAGAGGTGACCTTCTTCCCTTGTCCGTTTTGTCTTGCTTTCGTTCTCAAATTTGTGTTGCTTTCTTTCTGTTTTTTCTGCTTCGTCGTGCCTGTTTCACTTGATTGTGTGTTGTGTTTGTTTTGTGCTGTGTGTCGCTCTGCAGCTGGCAGGGTCCAAGACCCGAAGACCGCCCCCGACTGCGGCATAGGTTTTGTGCGGCAGGGGTGGCTGACGGCATTGGGTCGGACGCGGCCCGCGCCTGAAGCGCCCCTGTGTGTGAGTGAGTGCTCTGACGAGGGATGGGGGGACACTCCCTGAACTCTGACGGCCTCCTCACCCCGCCTTCGCCGGGCCAGGTGTTACGCCACCTGGTCTGAGCTGGGCTGTGGGACGCTGCAGCCCGGCTCGTGTCGCTTAGGGGCTGCAGTCCCACACGAAGGGTCCCCACCTCAACGCGGTGTGTGGGTGTATCACTAGGGGTTAACCCCCCTAGTGGCCAAGAGGGGCCCAAAAGACCCAAGACCGTCGAGAGCTCTATTATGATTTTATTTTTATATTTTAGATTATTGTTGCCTAGATAGTGATGGTATGGTAGCTCTGGTTAGGTCATTAAACAGACAACTACCGGTAGGTCTCAGCATGCACGATTGAAACTAGGTAACGCACACCAGGCAAGCACATGCTGCAGCGTTGCTGATAAACAGGAAATGAAGGACTTCTAACATCACAGATTAGCGGGACCCTTCACATTCAGTTCATTAAATCATAGCAAAACAATCAGGAACACGCAACAGAGGCTAATTCCTTCTGACATGGCAACGTGTCCTCTCAAACATGGGACAATGCCACTTGTGTCTCCACTTAGTGCTGACCGACCACCCAACAGTGACTCATGGAAGTCCCTACCCATCAACACAGTAACAGCATGCCGAAGTGAAGTCGTTCACACACCTACGTACTTCCTCACTCCTCTACTCCATACCCTGTACTGCACACCTCCTAACGTGTCTGCTACAGCCGAGTGCACGCCTCCCCCTTTCCCTAGAGCCGAGTTCAGGCGAAATCAATGTCGTCAGGAGCAAGCCGCGTGAGCCAGTTGCTGCTTTGCGATTCTGAGACGCCTTGAAAGTCCGCTACAGCCGAGTGCAGGCAAAGTCAAAGTCACACCTACGAGTAAGACAGGGTACACAGCCAGCACCCTGCGGTAAGGAATTGCTGTGCTGTCAGTTGTTGTGTAAGGAATTGCTGTGCCGTCTGCTGTTCTGTAAGGAATTGCTGTGCTGTCTGCTGTTCTGTAAGGAATTGCTGTGCTGTCTGCTGTTCTGTAAGGAATCGCTGTGCTGTCTGCTGCTCTGTAAGGAATTGCTGTGCTGTCTGCTGTTCTGTAAGGAATCGCTGTGCTGTCTGCTGTTCTGTAAGAAATTGCTGTGCTGTCTGCTGTTCTGTAAGGAACTGCTGTGCTGTCTGCTGTTCTGCGAGGTATTGCTGTGCTGGTACGCTAGTCATTAGCGAGCACAAGGAAGCCAATAGCAGTGTAGAGCAGGAACACAGGGTACACTGCCAGCACCCTGCGAGTCTCAGGAACAGCCTTCGCCACGAACGGGTATGCAGCCGAGGAGCTCCAAGCGAATGTGACTAATACGAGCGCCATGCGGGCGAGCTTGGCGGTGGTGAGTAGGCAGAGGAGGGCGGCAAGGTCGAGAGGCACGAGGCAGTAGCCGAGAAGGGAGAGGCTCTGGAAGAATATGATGCGCCCCGCCCTGTGGTGAGGGGGAGAGGGGTGCAGGAGAGAGAGAGAGAAAGATACGCAGGGCGACATGAGGGGTGCAGTGAGGTGCAAAGGGGCGTATGTGTGTGAGGGGCAGTAGCCGAGCAGGGAGAGGCTCTGGAAGAATATGATGCGCCCGCCCTGTGGTGTGAGGGAGAGGGGTGCAGGAGAGAGATGTGACGCAAATGAAAAGACATGAGGCGGGGGTCCATGAGGGGTGCAGTGAGATGCAGAGGGACATGCCTGTGCATGGGGCAGCCTAAGGGGTGCAGTGAGATGCTTATGGGTACACGTGTGCCAGGGGAAGCACGACGGGCAATGAGGTGGCGAGAGAGAACGGGAGCAGGGACGAACATGTGTCTGGCTGAGTGTGTGCGTGAGTGTGTGCGTGAGTGTGTGCGTGAGTGTGTGCGTGAGTGTGTGCCTGAGTGTGTGTCTGAGTGTGTGCCTGAGTGTGTGCGTGAGTGTGTGCGTGAGTGTGTGCGCGAGTGTGTGCCATAATGCTTATGAGGCACTCACCAGCAGCTGCACATTGAGAGTGAGGACAACGGCTCCTGCTGACACTGTTCCGAACACCACCGCAAACACATGCGCCTGTGACGCACAGAGAACGAGTGAGTCACTCAATTAGTGAGAACCCTTTCTTTAGCACATGCAAGATGGAACGGCGCAGACAGTTTGCAAGTCGCATGCCGGTGGATAATGCAAGTCTGCACAGCTCTGCACAGCTCTGCCGTCGCTACACTCACCTTGATCTGCGTCCATTATGCTCACCTTGTTGTGTGTGGCAGACGAGGAGAGCAGCAGCGCGAGGGTGATTATAAAGAAGAACGGCCCCCACAGGTCCCAGTCTCTGAGGGAGCTCCGTTCACTCGGTATAAGCACACACCGCAGGTTCACCCACACTCGCTGCACGTCTCTCCATAGGGTTACTGATACAGGCTCTGGTGGGAGGAAGTGTGGGGGAAAGGAGGAGGTGAATGGAACGAAGGCTCGAAATTTGACCCAACTCACTGCACGTCCCTCCAAAGGAATTCTGATACGGGCTCTGGTGGGAGGGGGGGAAAGAGTGGAATGGAAAAAGGGAATTTCTGGAATCTACTCAGATTCGTGCACACGCGCTGTACGTCCCTCCACAGGGTTAACGACACGGGGTCTGGTGGAAAGATACGTTGGGGGAAGATGAATGGAATGGAAGGGGGGAATCTCTTCTTTGACTCAAGATTCACCCACACTCACTGCACGTCCCTTCACTCACTGCACGTCCCTTCACTCACTGCACGTCCCTTCACTCACTGCACGTCCCTTCACTCACTGCACGTCCCTTCACTCACTGCACGTCCCTTCACTCACTGCACGTCCCTTCACTCACTGCACGTCCCTTCACTCACTGCACGTCCCTTCACTCACTGCACGTCCCTTCACTCACTGCACGTCCCTTCACTCACTGCACGTCCCTTCACTCACTGCACGTCCCTTCACTCACTGCACTGCTCTGGTGGGAGGGGAAGCCAGGAGGGGAGGAGTAGGACTGAAATGAAATGCGGGGCCGTTGAGACGACTGACTTCCAAAGCGAGTGATTCCCCGTGCGACTGACTCTCCATGCGACTGACTTCCCATGCGACAGGTTCCCCTGACTCACGGCCCGACTCACCCGTCAGCGTGTTCTGCGGGCGCGGCGGGGGGATGGCGGCGCTGGCGGCGCTGGCGACGCTGGCGACGCTGGCGACGCTGGCTGGAGCGACGCCGCTGTATTCGTGGGAAAGAGCGGGCGTGGCGCGGAAGAGGTCATCTACGGAGTCTGCCTGGGATGGCAGCAGCGGCTGGGTTGTCGTCGCCATGAGCGCGCCTGCTAATCTCAAGCGCACCGAATGTGGACAAAGGGATAGACGCCGAGCAGCAGGACTATGCACGAATCGCGACCGTAGAATGGAGGAATCGCGGCAGGTAGTAACTATAGTCAACAGAAAATCCGAACTTCAGGTTGTCAGATTATTCTTTCCGGTACGCATGTGCGCTTCCCTTACGACGCGTTATAATCTGACACTGGCACCACTTGTAAGATTGGTGCATTTGGTATCTGAAAAGTGGAACAATCTACCGTGTGCTGAAAGGGTCTCTGTATAGCGCGGATTTTTCGACTAGGGGAGTGCACAAATCACCGATGATTGGGTGCCGAACATTCTGGAGGGGCGGTGGCAATCAATTGGTGGTTGCGTGTTGCGAAAGCTGTCGCCATCGCTGTGAAGGCTGTCAAGTCTTCGTAAGTCGTGACTCCTTGATTACACTGACGGCCCAAACCAACCAAGCAACCTCGAGGACACCTGTTATCGCTGCTTCTCATTCTTCCTTCTCACGGACAGTTCTTGTCGAGTTCGCCATAACTTCTGTTTGAACGAGTTCGCCCATCTTCAGACGTCACACTAGCTCTTCCCACCTACCTTACGTTCTGAAGCATTCTCGCTGCGGGATCCAGCGATCGCTGTGTTTCCTCACCCCGTTTCTATCTCTTCGCTACCGTTCACTAGACAGGATGCCGCGTGCAACCAGCAGATCTTCTGGTATGCGTTTCTTTCTTGTGACCAGTATCTCGATTCATTATGATTCGTACGTGGTCACCGACATTCCGTTACCTCTGAATCATGTGTCTTTCTGTCTGCGTTTATCGCTCTCGCCGGCAGGATCGAGGGCCTCTGCTCCAACGAGACCAGCGCCGAGGCCAGCACCTGCATCGCACACTCACTCCGCGCCTCCACCCGCACCTGGTACTCCATCAGATTGGACCGTTATCGCCCGTTAGTCAGATCTTCGTGCCTGATCCATCCAGATTAGTCAGATCTTCAGCTCCTGCTTTCAGATTCTCAACCTCGCCTCTTCTCATGACACCTCGCATTCTCGTGTTCCCTCCTTCCCGATTGGTTGCGCAGCGGCGCAACCAGCGACTCCCCCAGCGCAGCCAGCAGCAGCCTCCGGAGGGGGGAGCATGCTGGGTGGGTTGATGCAGACGGTGGGAGAGGGCATGGCGTTCGGAACAGGATCCGCCATTGCCAACAGAGCGGTGGATGCCATCATGGGTCCGCGCACTGTCGTGCACGAGCACGTCAACTCCGCCGCGCCTGCCGCCGCGCCTGCTGCCGCTCCTGCGACTGCCAGCTCGCCGTCGGACTGCGCTCAGCTGCAGCAGGATTTCAACAAGGTAGGCCTTAGTGCGAGAGATCTGAAATATTCCCGAAAGATCTGTCGTTCATGGGAAGCAATGCAGGATTGCTTTGGGTTCGGGGCTTCACAATGCCCCTCACTGCTTGTCTGTTCTGGGCAGTGTGTGGAGATGCATGGGAGCGACATCTCCAAATGCCAATTCTACCTGGACATGCTTACTGAGTGCAAGCGGAACGCCTCTTCAGGTCAGTTGGACTGTTCCCACTGCATTTTTGGCAAGGCTCTTCCACACAGCCGTTGCTTCCACTGCTCATTGCTAACCATCTGTTTGATGCCTTGATTTTTATGTCATGCAGGGAATACGTTTCAGTGAAAGCATATTGTTCAGGTTTTCATTATTTTGTTAAGTTAATGCAGGCATCACGCAACACTCAGGCTTCCCCCCCATGTTATTGTAATCTCATCACCACCACCTACCAGTAAGCCATTCCATTTGTCTAGGACTTGGCTAGAACAAAGTATGGCTAGGTTAGCGTAGGAGTTTGATGTAGCCTCAGTGAGACGAGCGCCCTGAAGTAATTTTCATCTATATGCTTTGGCATGATCTCAACCTGCAAGCATCAACTCCCTGTTGCTGGTTGTAAACATGCAAACACTCCATGGTCACCTTATCACAAGCCACATTTATTCTAACCACATGCTAACCACTCACAGCGGTTAACTTATCTACCTGGCTTAGCTAAGAAACCTGCCAAGTGGAGGCTGTGGTGCAGTCATCTCTTCTAACCTACACACTGACATGCAAGTGCAACAGAGGCTGCATCGATGCTATGTGCCTCCAGCAGGAGGTGCAGCAGGCACAGACATTTGCAACACAGCTTCCAAGGATCTGACCACATCAGACATGGCGGGCCTCTCCTTGGGCTCCACCTTCACACAGCACTGCGCAATCACCGCCGCCTTCGCCACCGCTTTAGCCAGCGGCATGGGCTGCTGCTTGGCCTGGGCGGCTGCCACAATGCGCTTGTCAAGGAGGCGTGGCAGTTGGGAGCGGTCACGGAAGTAGGGCCGCGCCCAGTCAATGATGTTCTGCTCTGACCGGACCAGCTGCTGCTCCATGGCTTTGCGCCCGGCAATGATCTCCAGCAGCACCACGCCGAAGCTGTAGATGTCCGACTTGGCTGTCAGGTGGCCTGGGGGGTGCCGGGTCACACGCACACACAGGATGCGTCTACTTGAGAAGGAAGGGTTTTAAGGGAGGCAGCAGGGGGAATTGGTGATACTCTGCAAAAAAAGTGTAACAGACTGGTTTACTTGAGAAAAAGCCGCAAATTGGCTATATAGACTGAAACAGAATCTAAACAGCGGTAGATTGAACTGACAGGGCAGCAGCAAGTACATACCGGTGAGCACATATTCGGGGGCAGCATAGCCGAATGTGCCCATGACTCGTGTGGACACATGTGTGTTGCCTCCCTGGGGCCCATCCCTTGCCAACCCAAAATCAGACAGCTTCGCATTGAACTCCTGCAGGGAGAGAGAGCGGGAAGGGAAAGGAGTGAAGGGAATGGACAGACAGGTGGAAGGCAGAGAGGTGAAAAACGTGATTAGCGAGTGCAGTGCTGGATCCGACCTGGCATCGGGACCAACACCCTATGGCATAATCTCTGGCACCATTGCCCGAGGCAACATTCCTAGCAGCATGTCCCCAGGCAACGAAATCAGCAGCATTCCCCTTGGCAGCGATCACCTCAGCAGCAATTCTAGCAGCACTCCCATTGGCAGCGCTCCTAGCAGCGTTCCCATTGACAAACTTCTTGCAGCATTCTCTGCATCCTTCCCCTTGGCAACGTCTCTGGCAGCATTCCCCCTGACAAACATCAAGCAACATTCTCCTTGGTAGCAACCTCAATCAGCAAAGACTGACCCTGTCCACGAGGATGTTGGATGTCTTGAAATCCCGGTAGATGACCTGCGGCTCCGTCTCTTCATGCAGGAATGCAAGGCCGCGAGCAGTATGCAGTGCCACCTTCATGCGAATGTCCCATGGCAATGGGTCCCGGCTGCCTGCACCAATCAACCGAGTCAACTGGAGTCTGTCAAAAGAGGCATTGCTGGTCAAGCCTGATGTGAAAAGCTTTCAGTGAAGTAAGAAACTAGCGGCATAACGTGTCTCAGAAGCAAGCAGGGAAACTGAGGGAAACATCAGCTGGGTAATAGTGCAGGCAGGGATGCTGCTTACGCGAAAAGAGGTATCGCTCGAGGCTGCCATACTCCATGAACTCATACACCAGCAAACGCTGCATGTCCTCTGCACAGTACCCTACTAGCCGCACCAGGTTCGGATGCCGAAGCTCTCCCAGGTACCGAACCTCAGCCTGGTAAGGTAAGGAGAGGTAAATGTAAACGATGGGATCTGAATGCTGCGGGTCAGAACAGATACAGTCGAGTGTGGACGATACAGTAGATGGCAACTTCGGTTAAACTATAACATCATAAGAAGTTCTCGTGAGTACAATCCTCCGTTCAGGTGACCATTCCGCCTCCCACATCGACGGAACCTCTCTTCCCCCATCGAGACTTACCATCCATTCCTGGTCCCCTTGTGTTCCGTCCAGCGTCAGCATCTTAATGGCGACCTTTTGCCCTCCTCCAGACTTGTTTGCATCAATAGTCCCTTTATACACGCTCCCAAACCCTCCCTCGCCAAGCTTTCCATCGTCTCTGAAACCCTTTGCTGCTTTCTCCAGCTCCTTGAACGAGAATTCTCTTAACGAGGCGTCAATACTCAGCTCAGTTGTCCCGGAGCCGCTGTGGTGTCCTACGCTGATGATCACGCGACCAGCGTCTGAGTGACCAACACTCGTGCCAACTTGACTCCCGGGTGCTGACCCGTTTGATCGCTTGCTCTCTCCTACAGACGCGGCTCCACTGCCTCCTCCCGAGGCAACGCGCTGATGCTGGCTTGAGGAGGTGCTAGAGCCTATTATATCGTTAAAGGAACCGACGGGGTGATCACCAGTCGATTGTCTCTTGATCGCTGTGGAGGGAAAAAGGGGAATTTGCAAAAGAAGGGTGACAATAGGGCATGGGTAAAGGGCAATTTGCAATGGCAGGATGGCAATAGGGCTTGGGTAAGTAATGTTACAATAGACGTGGGATACAGAACCTGACACGGCGACAATAGGGCGACTTCAATTATTGAAAAATAACAGACAACCGGATCCGTGCGAACAGACTCAGTTGCGTTTTACTTACTCTCTCTAGGAGTCTCAGGCTTGCGTGGTGTGGCCGGCCGTACGACCTCCTCGTCTATAGACACACAACAGCCCATGCTGACGGAAATTAACACTAGAGTTTCACTAGACGGCCTATAAACACATACAGTGCGTCGCTTCTTTCACAGCTTTTCCCATGGCACAACCACCCTTGTCACCTACGAACTCTGAGAAACAACGAGCCGACCATAAATAACTGACCAATAAGATCGCAGTCTAACGATCTTAGAAAAGCATAGGCTTCGTTTTCAGCGCGCCACTGAGAAGGTCAACATGCAGCAAAAATTACCGTGCCTAGCCTTCATAAGACGTGGGTAATGGTCTGGAAAAGCGAGGAAGACAGCCAGTCATGAAGAAAATTGCCGTACAGAGCCGAAACCAGCTTCTGCTTGACTTCGAAGTTTGCCGTAAAGAGTTGTGGTTCTGCGTTCTTCTGCGGGGTTTTATGTGGTGTATTCGACAATGTGGTTGGCTAGACAAACAGAAGTACACTTCAAAGTGGCCCATGGATGGCTTCGACATTATTGTGCATACAGTTTCGTTCATTCGAAACTGGTGTGTATATGAGCTTATCTTAAACAAGGAATTTTCTCATCAGGATTTTTTTTATCCGAACCAAGCTAGGTGGTTTGGGAAGGGGAGACCGGGCGAGTAAACGCGATCCGTCGAAAGCTTGCCGTATTCTGACGATTTTTCTCAATTTCCCCGCTTATTTTCTGTCCTGTTTTCGCCTTTCCCTGCCAGAACGGATGGAATGATGGCATCACCCCTTCTAGATCATCCGTGGCTCTCCTTCCACACCCACCACCACCACATCAGCAACTCACGGATCCCTCCAACCCAGCGCTTCTAACCCTAGCAGCTAATGTGTCTGCTTAGCTTGTGTTAGCACTTCAGAAAGGTCCATTTGTTGGCATTAGCTTGTTGCTGTGACTTGCTGCTCTTATGGAAGGTGAAAGTGAGAAGAAGACGGGAGAGAAACCCGCGGAAGATGATGGCGGAATCGCACCGCTTCCGGAAA